ATCAAGCACTTGGCATTTCTGCCAGAGGAAATAGAAAATGAAGTAAATGAAGGGTTCAGGCCATTAGAGAATGATGAGGACTCTGAAGCAAAATACTGCAGGATAAATGAACATACGGGTGAGGACAGACTGCAGTACCAAACAGAGTGCTGAAGAGGTGTAGGTGGGAAGTACTCCATGTGGACATCCGGGGCAGGCTTTCCAGAGGGAAGGAAAAGCCAGTACCAGGGCTTGGAGCCTGCAGCTGGCCGGGGTGGTCAGGTACAAGAGCAGGTCAGTGTGACCAAAGTACAGTGAGCAAGGCAGAGAGATTGCCAAGCCCACAGAGGATCTTGGAGGTCACTGCAAGGATTTTGGCTGTAGTTGGCCATACCCTTCACACCTTCTTCCACCTCCACTAACTTTTTTCTTTCCCTTAGCACCCTAAGTAATGCAGAAAGAAAAATTTTCATTTTTCTTTCAGATAAATAAATTGACCTGGAGATAGCAGAGCATTTCAGTGGGCAAACACACGCCACAGTGAACTGTGGTCCTATTCAAAGAGGTTGAGGTGAAGGCCAAAAGAAGGAGGAGCACATAAGATATTTTACAAGAATAACCCTTGGTCACAAGAGCCAATGTCTTATTCATTTTCTCATTACTGGGACAAAATGTCCAGTACCCCAACTTACAGGAGGAAAGATTTATTTGGTTTCCAGTTTCCAGTAGGTGCAAACCAAAGTTGGATGGTTGTAAGGCAGCAACACATGGTGGAATAATCTCAGCAGAGGACCTCTGCTCATCCCATGGCAGCCAGGAAGCATTGAGAGAAGGAAGAGCCAAAACAGCAATACACCCGTGGAAGTTACACCCTCAGTGACCTACTCCAACCACACCCCACTTCCTAACAGCACATTCAGCTGCCGAACTTGTCAATGGACTAATCCACGGATGAGTATGGCACCCCCATCATCCGTGCACTTTCCAAAAGTCCCACGTCTGAACCCCGGAGGCTTTTGTGGAACATTCTAGATCTAAACCTTGACAATCAATAACAAGAGTGGCACCAGCCAAAAGTGAAAGACAGTCCTGCAAGGGAAGACAGCCTTGTGGAGGTGCTCTTTGCCTGAGGTGGCAGTGGCCACTGTGTAAGGTTGTGGTTCTGGCAAGATCTTTCATGAATATTTCCAATCACTAGGCACACCTGTATGAGATCCTCTCTTTCATTGCTTCTCAGCTTTATTTATTATTATTTTTATTAGGGCTTGACACAAGTGATTGCGTTTTGATTCTGACAGCTTTTGTATTCCCTACACAGACACTCTGCCAATGTGTCTTGAATTTCTAGTTTTGTTACGGTTTTCATTAGTAGGGATTGAACCCAAGGCCTTTTATGTGCTAAGCAAGTGCTCTACTACTGAGCTACAGCCCCTTTTACAATTTTACATCGAGACAGGATCTCATATTCCCCAAGCTGGCCTTAAATTTTTAATCCTCCTGCCTCAGCCTCCTGAGTGTCTGGAATTACAAGCTTACTCCACCACTTTCAACATTGCATTTTTTTATTTTTTAAAATTCCATCTTTATACTAAATTTGCCTCTGCTAGTTCTCACGTTGATGCTCCCATGATGAGCACAGTTTACAAGTTTTCCTCCATGGTCTTCTTCAATATCTTGACCCTTAGTTCTCACCACTTCTAACCATATGCTACATCCATCTTTGTTTATTATACTTTATTGCACCTACCAGGTGTTTCGGTAATTTTGTAGTCTTCTGTCAGAGATATTTATATTGGAGATATCGCTGACATCAATCCTTTTACTCACAACTTAGGAGAATACCAGAATATAATTCTGAAAAGAAGCTAATTTCAAATTCTATTTCTTATTTTACCTAACAATAAAAATAAGTCAAAGTCATTTTCTCAAGTTCAAGTGATGTAAAAGACAACCTCCAAGGGAAAAAAAAAATCCTCTAAAATTTCTTAAAGAAAATCATTTTTAAGATAATACTTTAAAATATATCTAGACATAAACTGAGGTATATTTTATGCTTAAATAAGTAAAACACCAAATAAAAATAAAAATACAAAATCAAAGTAAATTATGGATTTACTTTGGCAGATGCCATCAATTTAGCGACCCTCAACAGAGCCTGGACTGACTGATTTGGACCTTTCTGCCCAATGCCTGCTGCTTGGGCTGTGTGCTGGCTCCATTTTCCCTGTGGCTGTTCCCTTTTACCCCCAGCCCTAACTGTGTACTGTCCCCGGCTGGCAACATACCCCTCGCATTTAATCAGCCTCTGTTTCTTTCTCATTCATTAAAAAACAAAAAACAAACAAACAAAAAAAAAACTAAGCTGTGACTGCTTGCTCCCAGAGAGGTCTGAAACAATCATAAATGACTATAAGGTGGATTTGCAAAGCAGGTTTTTGTTGCACTGCAGCCAATCAAATGACGGATCTAGGACACATTTTTAGTAATTGTCCAGGTGATCATCAGAACAGCCGTGCTAAAGTGGATGTTATCTCAATCAGAACATGTGTATCTTGGCTCAGGGTTACAGTTCCTGGTCAGTCGGCTATAAGGTAGAAACAACATGGTAGAAAGGCTTAGTATGGAAGAAAGCTGCTCGAATTATGGTGGCCAGATAGCAGAGAGAGAAGGGAGGAGCAAGCAATGAAAATACACTTTCTGGTCATTCCCACAGTGGCACACCTCTGTGAGTTCCACCTCCTAACAGCAAGTCAGCTATAGTGCCCCCATGATTCAGTCACCTTCCTAAAGACCAGCCTCTAAACTGGGCGTGGTGGTGCAAGCCTGTAATCCCAGCACTCGGGAGGCTGAGGAAGGAGGATCACTGTGACTTCAAGACCAGCCTGGGCTACGTAGTGAGTTCCAGATCAGTCTCAACTACATAGTAAGACCCTGTCTCAAAAACAAACAAACAAAAAAAACCAAACAAACCAAAAAAAAAAAGACGAGCCTCTGAACATATGAAAGTTTGGGGGTCATTCTTCTTCCAAACTGTAACAGAACATGTACCTCCAAGCTCTCAGTTGGAGAGGCACTCAGCCTAAGTATATCTTTCATATCAGGAACAGCTTTCCTTGTCTACAGTATCAGGCATCCCTGTGCCACTAATTTATTATGTTTTCAACCAAAATATTTGCCTCAATTTTTATCTGTTTTCTTCAAGAATAAATCTTTTGTACTATCTCAGTGAATATTTGTCAACCAGTTTCTCATAGTAGGAGATGCTGAGTGATGTCAAAGACTAAAACTCAGTTGCAGCACTTTCCATGACTGTAGAAATTCAGAATTATAACTAATCCATTAGTTGGGATTCTCCAGAGAAAAAGAATCAATGGGATACATAAACACATGTGCATACGACAGAAAATATTAGGGGAATTGACAATCGAGAGCATAAAAGCTGAGACCCAGAAAACTGAGTAACTCAGTCTGAAGATGGCCTGAGAACTGGGGATGCAGAGGGCAGGGTGGCAGGAGCTGCGGTGAGTCCCAGTCAGAGATCAAAAGACCAGATGCTCTGAGGACAGGAAAAGATGGATGTTCCAGCTCCAGAAGAGAGAGAAAACTAAACTCTCCCCTCTGTACTTCTATTCAGGTCCTAGATACCCTGTATGAAGCGAGAGTGATCCTCTTTATTCAATGTACCATCCAAACACTTGTTATTGTCTTGTAGACAGACCTTCATAGACATACCCAGAAATAATGTTCTTACCAGCCATCTGAGTATCACTTGGCTTGGTCAAGTTAACACATAAAGTCAGCCAGCACACTCAAACTCTTCCTTTAAAATATCTTGCAAAAAAGCTCACCTAGCCTCTATTTACAAACCTCCCATCACTGGCTTCATAAGGCAATTTTTCTGTTTTTCTATTGGTTTAAATCCTGCCTCCTAAAACAATGCACAACCCAAACTACTCTTGTAAAGGACACCTTCACCCATGTAAAAACAAGTTTTATCATTCTTCAGCTTGTCTTGCTGTAACATCCTCACTACCTCCAACTATTCTTGCATCACAATTCCAAGTAAAATAAGAAATGGCTCAGTGATTTCTTTGATATGGATATGCAATCCAATTTCCTTAATAGAAACTTTGAGATCCATAGGTCTTATCTCAAATAAACAGGTTTTATAGCAATTTTGTTTCTAGAGTTAATGATGTAAATGACTGCAACCTAATACTATGGAATAATTCTACTGAAAAGACAGAAGTGGAACACATTTGAACTGATACTAAGCATTAACCAATTTATAAACATATAAATTTAGGTATGTATACACAACCATATATATTATTCATTTATGTATTTATTTATTTTATTTATAATTGAAGAAATAAAATGTGAAAGTCTGAACAGGTGATGGTAGATTGGGTAGAACCAGAAGTGATGGGCAACACGATTGCCATGTCTTATCCCAGGGTCCTTCCAGAAAAGACCTTCCCAAGCTTAAGTACACAATCTCATGGGTCTTGATGCACACAGCCTTCTGAAAGAACCAAGGGAGGTTCTTAAAACTCAGTGAGTCCTGTAAAGACAGGGCATCTACCTACTCTGTTCTCCATTCTGAATCATGATGAGCTTCCTGGACTCTGGGGGCTGAGGAAACAGGAAAGCATCAATCAAGGAAAACCTACAGAAAGCTGCTCTCACTCGGGCTCCAAACCCTGACTCTGTATTAGGGACTGGCAACAAAGGACCAGAAATGAATGATAGATATCCTATGGCCCCATAAAGGTCATCACAAGAAGGGAAAAGGTGCTGGCCAGAGTCACATGTAGCCCTTTTCCAAAGAGTTGCAGGTGGAGTGAGGTAGTAGCGACTGCTCTTGCGAAGGTCAGTCTTCTCTGTGGATGTCTAGATACGTGTTTCCAGGCACACATTTGCGTCCTCCCAAACATCAGCATTGGTCATTGATAGTCATAAGAATGTATATTGCACAGAAGGAGAATGACATTTCAGTGATTAATTCTTCTTTCCAACAGCTGGCTGTCCTGACTCCTTGATTAAAGAGCTCCATCATTTCAGGATTCTAGGAGAAGAGCAGGTGAGTCAGCCTCTCAAAGGCCTCATCACAGCGTCGTCAACGTTAGACACTAATGAGACAGTTTGGGCTCCCTCCTGGGAGGCTGAGTATGTCTCTTGACCCACAGAGCCCTGAAATGGGGAAGAAAGTCATGCTGGAGATATGTGTGAGGACACTTTTCCTCTTCTATCCATCAGACCTGACAGGTTATTAATTGGTACATCTGCTATCTGCCAGAGCATTTCATCTCAAGACTCGAGTAGTAAGCAGGCACTGTGTAGTGTCAGATGAGCAAACAAACAAATGCAGAGATGAATTATGCCTGAGGTATCAATAGTCATAGACATTCCTGTTGTGATGTCTGTGGGTGGGTGTGCAAGCTCTTTTCACCTGACATTTGTATATTGTACGTGTTATCTATATTTTACAACCACCACTTTCTATATGGATGTGTGCACATGACATGCATAGGATGACCCATTTAAAGTATAGATTATTTAAATGCTATGCTCTGCTCAGTAAGGAATGTCATATTTTAAATAGATGTGCAAAATAAATAATTTAGGGCGCTAAATATATGTATACATATGTGCATGCATATACTTCTGATTACTTAAAATAAAAATAGCTTTGCTGGGGATTTGGCTCAGTCATTCTGCCGCCTGCCTCACAAGCACAAGGGCCTGAGTTCGATCCCCAGTACCAAAAATAAAATAAAATATAATTAGTCTTCCATATCCTTGAGTTCCATACCTGTGGATTCAACCAACAGCAGATTGAAAATATTTGGAGGCAAAAACAAGAATACAACAATATAATATAAAATTTTTGAAAATGTGTTAAAGATATACATAGCATTTATGTAGTCTTAGGTATTATTAGTAATTTAGAGATGATTGAAAGCACATGGAGGATGTATGTTGATTATATGCAAATACTGCACCATCTGTTATAAGGAAGTTGAGCCTCTTAGGATTGTATTATTCTCTGAAGTCCTAGAACCTGCCTCCCAACATGGGTACCAAGGGACAACTGTACATCTCTTAACCTTATGTGGAATTATAAATTCTGTATTGGTATACTAAATTAAGGCATCAAATAGTCATCATTTCTAAAATACCTACACTAAATAATTGGCTGTAACATGTTGGTTGGCCTACTTTATACTCCTGTTACTGATTTGTACTTTCAAAGGTAATCTTTGCCAACTCTAACCATACAACATACAAATGGAGTTGTATGGATCAGTTTTGTCCATGTGTTCAGTTTGTGTGTTTTTATTTGGTATGAATGAGTGGCAAAGTATGACTGCTCATTTCCAATATAAATATAAACCAGAAAGGGTTGGTTAGGGAACGTAAATGCTAGAATCATTTCTTTATCCTTGAATAAACAAATTATAGTATACCTCTCCTCCTTTTGAGCTTTCAAAAAAGAAACCATGAATGTTTATTCAAATACAAGTGAAATCAGTTTTCCTTCATTGCAAGTAAAAATTGATAACAGAATCCTCAAACATACATACTTATTAAAACACCTGCTGCTCATACTTTTCAGTAAAAAGCTGAGAGACTTCTTAAAGAAAAAGTTATTGATCAACCCTCTGACATATCGGTTCAAATAATGAACCATTCTCTTCTAATATGTACCAGTATTTGTAAATTGTTTCCATATTTGTTTTGCAGTTACTAGGTAATTAGTAAGGAAAGAAGCCAATGATAATCATCTCAATAGAACTGCATAAAAGTCAGACCACTCTGCACTCTCCTAGAAATGTGATCAAATCATAATCAATATTAATGTTACTATGATGAGTTAGGGCAGTAAAATAAATTATAGCAAAATGATCTCTATTTTCCAGAAAACCGCATTTTATTTCTACTCATTACAGATACTATTTAGCATCTTCTATATGTTATATACAACATTATAAGAATGGGAGGTGGAAAAGAAATATCCATCAGGCTTTTATAATAGTAGGGGAAGACTGTGTTATGTTACAAGATATAAATATGTTCAGAATTATGTTAGATGGTTATCATTGACATGAAAAATTGTACAACCAAAAGGAGGAGTAATGAATATCAGGGGAAAAGGTAAAAATGTTATATAAAGTGATCAGGGTAAGTCTCACCAAGCAGGTCAAGAAAAATACCATAGTTACATCTGGGAAAGGAGATATCCAGAGATAGTAACACACAAACACAGAAGCTCTGAAATGACCATGTGCTTGGCTTGATCAAACAGTATGGAGGCCAACATGACTGGGGGACGCTGGTGAGGAAGCAAAGCAAGATGAAGAGTTGTAAAGATTAGGTAGGAATAGAAAGAGAAAGCCAGATTGTGCAGGAAGAGGTTGAAAATGATGGGAAGAAATTGAGGCACCTGTTGGTGACAAGAAGCCAATGGTCTTCAGCATTTATTCCCCATTGCTCCTCATGTAGGAATAGGATAGCAAGTGAGCACTGGAATTCACATCATAGGGGTCATTGGTGAATGTGATGATTGGCCAGTGGTGGACCTGTCGTTGGTAGACTGGTGAGGGTGACAGCCTGCCTGAAACAAGCTCATGTGAGAAGGGAGAAAAAGAAAAAAAAAGACAGTAAATGTATACAATTCTTAATTCTTTTGAGGATTTCAGCTAATAAAAAAATAAAAACAAATAATTGAGTTGTCTATATTTGGGGATGTGGAATCAAAAAACCTTACTCTTTCATGAGAAAAATTACAGCATGTTACATGCTAACTGGGACCATTTGGTAGAAAAATTGGTAGACAAATGATGCAGAAAAGAGAGAGGAAAAGTAAGGACTGATGTCCTGAGACATAAGCCTGGCCTTGGAGGAAAGAGGGGTAAGCTCCCAGGTAGCAGCAGCAAGGACAGCATATGTGGACACAGAAGTACATGTGTAGGAGTGGATAGTGAATCTCCAGGAAGCCCTCTGCTGCTTGTTTCTCTTTTCTCAGTGAAACAGAAAGCTAGGTCATCAACTGAGAGTGAAGATGGGGAAGGAAATTTACAGAAAGAAAAAGTGATGAAATTGTCCTTTAGGGGCTCTTATCTAGAATATATAAAGAACTGAAAACAATCAGCCCCCCCAAATATAAAGACCCAATTCAAAAATGGGCATCTAAAATGAACAGATATTTCTGAGACAAGAAGTAAAAGCAGCAAGTAAATATATGAAAAAAGTTCCACATCACTGGTCATTCGAGAGATGCGGATGAAAACAACACTGAGATTCCACCTCACCCCAAAAAGAATGGCTGCTATCAAGAAATCAAACAATAACAAATATTGGCAAGGTCGTAGGGAGAAAGGAACCCTTCTCCATTGTTGGTAGGAGTGCAGACTGATGCAACCACTATGGAAATCAATATGGAGATACCTCAAAGAGCTGGGACTAGAGGTTCCACTTGACCCAGCCATCCCTCTGCTGGGTATCTTTCCAAAAGAATTAAAAGAATCATATCACAGTGACATATGCATACCTATGTTTATAGCAGCATGGTTTGTAATAGCTAAAACTTGGAAACAGCCCATTTGCCCATCAACTGGAGACTGGATAATGAAGATGTGATTTTTCTACAAAATGGAATACTACTCAGCCATAAAGAATGAGAAATTAGAGTCACTCACAGGAAAATGGATACACATGGACGATATACTCCTAAGTGAAATAAATAAGTCACACATGTATAAATACTGAATAGTTTCTCTGGTGTGAAAAATTATAATAGTACTAAGATCCTAATGAGATAATTGACAATGTGAAATAGGAAGAAAAGGGCTAAAGATGTAGGGAAAGTGGTAAGGGTAGGGGAAAGGTAATAAGGGAAAAGAAAAAATAGAAAATGAAAAACTGGAAATAAAGTGTTTGTAAATGGGGAGGAGAGGAAAGGGTGAAGGGAGGGCAGGGACAAGGGGAAAAAATGAGAACCAAGACCTGGCATGTAAAGGTACAAGATCCCAGTAATGAATGTAACTGTACTGTATACCTAAAATGTATCAATAAACTCAATGAGGAAAAAAAGAAATTGTCCTTTAGGAATGTGGGGAGTGAATAAACTAGGAAAATGGATATATTTGCAGTGAAATCAATCAGCCTGATGTTTTAGTCACATTCCACTTGTGGATGCAGATGCAGAAAGGGCAGAGCACTGGGGTTCAGCCCTCAAAGAGTATCAGGAACAAAAGAGAGGAAAAAGGTGAGGGTGCGGTGGTGGTTATAATGACTAAACAATTAGTTTTCAGCTGGCAAGCAGAAACATGAGAAGAGAGAGGGCGGGAAGAAGTGGTGGAAACACTGTGTTACAGATCCCAGTGGGTTCAGGAAATTCGTTTCTTCTATTGAGAAATAGAAGAAAATAACTAGAAATATAGGTACTGGCCAAAGGACATGATATTGAAATTGAGGGTGTCGAAGGAGGTACATGAGCAGTGGTGACAAGGTCAGGGGATGTCCAGGGATGCAGGTTGGCTGACTTAGAGAGGAGGGAAAGATGATTGCAGTTGAGGTTACCCACTTGGTGAGCCAGGGTACAGGAATTATCATCCACATACCACTGAGCTCATCCAAAGCTGTCACTGGAGCAAACTTGGAGAGTTGCAGTGAGACAAGAACTAAAGATTTTAGAATAGGAGAGCAGAAGGGAAGGGTAGCCATAGCTTACTATAAAAGGATAAATAGAGGTCAATGTATCCTGACGGTTAAAATTAAATGCCAGAAGGTTTTAGAAGGAAACAAAGACAACCATCTTCCCTGGGGCAGTGAACAGCAATGCCTAGTGACACAGAGTGAAGCCATGACATATCTAAGGGAGCTGCAGGGGAGTGTTGTCCTCAGGTGCCAGCCAGCTTCAGTTAGGGAAGACGTTAGGAAAATGAGAGAACACGGGTGGCAGAGGATGGTGCAGCCGAAGGGTACAGTGGGTGAGAGGGAGGTGCAGAGCCATCCGTGGGCACTGGGGTCATCCCAGAGAGGTGGCACAAGTGTTAGGGCCTTCGGTGACTGACACAA